TCTCAAGCCCATCAAACGGGGATACAAAATTTGGTGTAGATGCGACAGTGAGACTGGATATTTGTATGAATTTAGTATTTATACTGGGAAAACGGATGGAGTGGAAAAAGGGCTGGGAGCAAAAGTCGTGAAGAACTTGACGCAACATTTAATTGATAACAATATAAAGAATGTTCACGTTACATTTGACAACTTCTTCACAGATAACAAACTTTTAGAATATTTGTATGAACATAACATATATGCAACTGGCACCGTGCGTAGGCACAGAGAAGGATTACCTCAACTTACAAAAGGTCCAAACGCTAGAAAACTAAAGCTATCTAAGGGTGAATTTAAATGGCGTGTGAAGGACAATGTTGCTTTTATAATTTGGCAGGATAATAAGGAGGTACTACTTTTGAGCAGTGCGTTCCATCCAAAAGTCGGAGTTTGTACTACTTTGAGGACTCAGAAAGACGGCAGTAAAGTGCCAATTCGCTGCCCTTTAGCCATTAAGCAGTATACTAAGCGAATGGGATAAATTCGACCAGATCAAAACCACATACACAGTTGGAAGAAGAAGCAAACGATGGTGGCTTCGCCTTTTTTACTTTCTCCTTGATGCTAGCATCATTAACGCTTTTATTATGAGCAAGATAAGTAAAGTAAATCTGACGCATTTGGAGTTTCGCGTAGCCCTAGCTCGAGGGCTTATTGGTGTATACTCCAGTCGAAAAAGACGATCCCACCTACGTGATCAGAAAAAAGTTGATACAGGCCGACACTCGCCAGAAAGCCATTCATGTGGTTGCTGATGAAGTACGATTCTCGAATGTTGGAGATCATTTACCTTGTCCGTCGGAGACATATAAACGATGCAGACTTTGCAGTACGAAAACAAACGCACTAAAATAATGTGCGAAAGATGTGCAGTACCTCTCTGCGTTGTCCCTTGCTTTACTGCATTTCACAGGTAGTAGGTAATTATTATTAATCAATATAATAATCAAGGATAAGCTATGTGTGTAATATATATACAGTGCGCGGCAAAATTATGGAACATATTCAATAAATTGATAACAAATTTTTTTTTGCAAAAATGCCGAAACTGGTCAATTTTGGTTAATCATAACACACATTATGACACCATATTCACTTCCTGATAATCATTTTTTTATGAATTATGACGTCATCGACATTTTTTTTAAATGGCACCATATGCATTTGTTTACAGAATCTGAAATTATATATTTCTCTGCGACTAACGATGTAAATATCGATATAGGTTATATAAGGAAAATTTTGAGAAAATTAGGTTTAAAGGTACAAATTTTATTTTTTTTTCTGAACTTAAAAATAGTATTACCCATGGGTAACCATGGAAACGCTTTGTTTGGTTTTAATNTTTAAAAAAATAAAGTTGGTGGCGACTTCCGGTATAACCGGAAGTGCAAGAAATCTGAAAATATTTTAGACGAAGAGATCGTAATTGATAATACTAATACTAATTGATATATTTTCGCCAGAACCCCAGAAACGTCTAATGACCGGTCTCGCTGAGACACCCTGTATAGATTAAAAAACAAACTTTTATGCAAAATTTCATTTACCTAGTAAGCATAATGTAGTTAGCTTTATCAATTTTTTCTCAACATATTTGCACATTGCAAACACAATAGTTACTTAGACGATTATCATTAATTAATTCAAATAATTTTGAATTGTGTGTTCCAGAGAGCCAAGCCATTCAAATAATAGGGTCGGTCGGAAAATAATATCTAGAAATACAGAATGAAAGTAATTATGCTCTATTAATTAATAATTTTTATAATTTACCTTTTAATGTCTATCATCGCAAGATGGTACACAGCAAGGAATAATAACCGACATTTTTATCATTTAAAAAATTTTAAATGTTTTTTACACTTTTTTACACTTAATTACAAAATTACACTCATAAATTACACTTATTAAAAAAATTAACTGATTTATCAATATCATTTATATTTGACATCACTTAATTTGACTTAATTAATCAAAGATGAATACAAAAAAAAGAAATGAAATATAAGCCACCTTAAAGGTTGTTTAAATTTGAATTTGTGTAGAATTAGTTATCGACGGTGACATCGGATGGCGTTGACGACGGTTACAATTTTCATTCATTTGAGATCCCCCCCCATGCAGACTTAAGTATTATCAATTACGTTCTCTTCATCTAAAACATTTTCAGATTTCTAGTACTTCCGGTTATACCGGAAGTCGCCACCTACTTTATTTTTTTAAATGGAACACCCTGTATATTTTTACATATTTGGATTTGTCTG